TGTAACGGGCGCCGCAATGAAGGAACGCAATGTAACGGGCGCCGCAATGAAGGAACGCAATGTAACGGGCGCCGCAATGAAGGAACGCAATGTAACGGGCGCCGCAATGAAGGAACGCAATGTAACGGGCGCCGCAATGAAGGAACGCAATGTAACGGGCGCCGCAATGAAGGAACGCAATGTAACGGGCGCCGCAATGAAGGAACGCAATGTAACGGGCGCCGCAATGAAGGAACGCAATGTAACGGGCGCGAGAAAGAAGGAACGCAATGTAACGGGCGCGAGAAAGAAGGAACGCAATGTAACGGGCGCGAGAATGAAGGAACGCAATGTAACGGGCGCGAGAAAGAAGGAACGCAATGTAACGGGCGCGAGAATGAAGGAACGCAATGTAACGGGCGCCGCAATGAAGGAACGCAATGTAACGGGCGCCGCAATGAAGGAACGCAATGTAACGGGCGCCGCAATGAAGGAACGCAATGTAACGGGCGCCGCAATGAAGGAACGCAATGTAACGGGCGCGAGAAAGAAGGAACGCAATGTAACGGGCGCGAGAAAGAAGGAACGCAATGTAACGGGCGCGAGAATGAAGGAACGCAATGTAACGGGCGCGCAGAAAGAAGGAACGCAATGTAACGGGCGCGAGAATGAAGGAACGCAATGTAACGGGCGCCGCAATGAAGGAACGCAATGTAACGGGCGCCGCAATGAAGGGACGCAATGTAACGGGCGCGAGAATGAAGGAACGCAATGTAACGGGCGCGAGAGAATGAAGGAACGCAATGTAACGGGCGCGAGAATGAAGGAACGCAATGTAACGGGCGCGAGAATGAAGGAACGCAATGTAACGGGCGCAACAAATGTCTTCTTAGTTGAAGATTTTATTGAAAAATAAACAAGTTAAAAAAATAGCTCGAACAAGCGTGTTACCAAAAGCCATGAAGAGCGAAGGTCAGGTGACGTCTTGGCAGATCTGTCCCTCTATGAGCTGCTGATCACCACCATGACCAGTCCAGTGTCTGGAGCTGCACACAGTGCAGGAAATGCGTATTTGCCTCCCTGCTGATGCTGAATGTTCGCCCCTCACACAGAAATGATCGGTCTAACAATGGAATGTTCGCCCCTCACACAGAAATGATCGGTCCTAACAATGGAATGTTCGCCCCTCACACAGAAATGATCGGTCTAACAATGGAATGTTCGCCCCTCACACAGAAACGATCGTCTAACAATGGAATGTTCGCCCCTCACACAGAAAACGATCGGTCTAACAATGGAATGTTCGCCCCTCACACAGAAATGATCTAACAATGGAATGTTCTAACACACAATGGAAACAATGGAATGTTCTCCCCTCACACAAACGATCGGTCTAACAATGGAATGTTCGCTGTAACACTGAGACACAGAATACAACAGCAAATTCAGCAGAAATGCGTCTAACAAATGATGACGGATCTGCATGTTCATGAGGGAAAGAAGGATTGGATCTCCTTCACAAAACATGACTTAGTACTTGGTGGCCAATCCCTTGTTGGCCATCACAGAGGTCAGACATTTCCTGGAGTTGGCCCCCAGGTTCGCACAAATCTCATGAGGGATTTTGGCCCACTCCTCTTGGCAGATCATCTCCAAGTCATTAAGGTTTGGTGGCTGACGTTTGGCAACTCGAACTTTCAGCTCCTCCACAGATTTTCCATCGGATGAAGGTGTGTGTGAGACTGGCTAGGCCACTCCAGGACCTTAATGTGCTTCTTCTTGAGCGCTCCTTTGTTGCCTCGGCCGTGTGTTTTGGGTCATTGTCATGCTGGAACACCCATCCACCACCCATTTTCAGTGCCCTGGCTGAGGGAAGAAGGTTCTCACCCAAGATTTGATGGTACATTTGTCCATCGTCCCTTTGATGCGGTGCAACTGTCCTGTCCCCTTAGCAGAAAAAAAACCCAAAGCAGAATGTGTCCACCACCATGTTTCACAGTTGGGATGGTGTTCTTGGGGTCATAGGCAGCATTCCTCCTCCAAACACGGCGAGTTGAGTTGATGCCAAAGAGCTGGATTTTGGTCTCCTCTGACCACAGCACTTCCACCAGTCCTCCTCTGCATCATTCAGATGTTCAGTGGCAGACTTCAGACGGGCCTGGACATGGGCTTTCTTGAGCAGGGGACCGTGCGGCGGGCACTGCAGGATTTCAGTCCTTGTCGGCGTAGTGTGTTACCAATTGTTTTCTTGGTGACTGTGGTCCCAGCTGCCTGGAGATCATTGACAAGATCCTCACGTGTAGTTCTGGGATGATTCCTCTCACTGTTCTCATGATCATTGACACTCCACGAGGTGAGATCTTGCATGGTGCACCAGACCTAGGGAGACTGACACTTGTTTTGTGTTTCTTCCATTTGTGAATGATTGCACCAACTGTTGTCACCTTCTCACCAAGCTGCTTGGCCATAGTTTGGTAGCCCAGTCCAGCCTTGTGTAGGTCTACCATCTTGTCCCTGACCTCCTTGGACAGCTCTTTGGTCTTTGCCATGGTGGAGAGTTTGGAATCTGATGGTTTGATGGCTCCTGTGGACAGGTGTCTTTTATACAGGTAACACAATGAGATTAGCATCACTCCCTTTAAGAGACTGCTTCTAATCTCAGCTTGTTACCTGTATGAGAGAAACCTGGGAGCCAGAAATCCTGCTGAATGATAGGGGATCAAATCCTTCTTTCCCTCATGAACATGCAGATCAGTCATCATTTGTTAGACGCATTTCTGCTGAATTTGTTGTTGTATTCTGTCTCTCAGTGTTACACCGAACATTCCATTGTTAGACCGATCATTTCTGTGTGAGGGGCGAACATTCCATTGTTAGAACCGATCATTTCTGTGTGAGGGGCGAACTTTCCATTTCTTAGACCGATCATTTCTGTGTGAGGGGCGAACATTTCCATTGTTAGACCGATCATTTCTGTGTGAGGGACGAACATTCCATTGTTAGAACCGATCATTTCTGTGTGAGGGGCGAACATTCCATTGTTAGACCGATCATTTCTGTGTGAGGGGCGAACATTCCATTGTTAGACTGATCATTTCTGTGTGAGGGGCGAACATTCAGCATCAGCAGGGGAGCAAATACACATTTCCTGCACTGTATATATATATTCACACTACACATTTTGATGGGGGACCATACACCCCATACTCATTCACATGGGGGGAACGGGATCTGGGGGCACCCTTGTTAAAGGGGGCTTCTAGGTTGATAAGCCCACCGGCCAGGGTTGTGAAAAGAAGAAGCCCTTGTCCTCATCAACAAGGGGACAAGGTGCTTTTGGGGGGGGGGGGGGAAAGCCCTCTCTCCCCCCCTCCCTCTCCCCCTCTCCTCTCCCCCCCCTCTCCCTCCCTCTCCCCCTCCCTCTCCCCCTCCCTCTCCTCTCTCCCCCTCTCCTCCCTCCCTCTCCCTCTCCCCCTCCCCTCCCTCTCCACACTGCTTTAGATGTCACCCTACCTACCATGTTAGGGAGATGAGGAGAGAAGGTGTTCTGTGGTCCCGTCCTAGGGTAACCACGCTGCTTTTCTATAGATGCATACAGTGAGTTAGCATTTTCACTCTGACAGGACTACAGATCAACAACCCCCCCCCCCCCCCCCCCACCATGTTAAGGAGATGAGGTGACATTATTGCTCCCCCATAGATGCAGTGCACTGAGAGAGCGTTGTCACCCCAGGACTATAGACTCCACCCACCTATGTCAGGGAGATGAGGAAAGGGGCAGGTGTTCTGTAGTCCTGTCCTAAAGTGACAAGGATACTTCCTTATGGATATAGTAAAGTGGTTGAGTGTTGTCACCCCAGGACAGGAAGTGCTCCAAGACTACAAAACATGTTAGGGAGATGAACGAGAGGGAGGTGTTCTGTAGTCTTCTACCTAGAGTAACATTGCTCCTCATCCGTGGGTGCATTACAGTGAGTGAGCTTTTGTCAGCCTAAGACAGGAAGTGGTTTAGGACTATAGAACCTATGTGTCAGGGCTCCCGGGTATGACCAGAGGTGTGTGACTGACGCAGGGAAACGCAGACTTCAGATAAGTTATAAATAATTTATTAACACTAACAATACAAACATAAACGCAGTGCAATACTAAAACATAACGCAGTGCAAACCAACCAACCAACCACCCACAGATAACAGTACATACAAGCAAGCGTCGTCAGGCGGGCCGGGTCAATATCGTGCGGGCAGCGTGGTACAGGGGGAGTAAGCGGAGAATAGTCAGGTCATGAGCAGGGTACAGCAACTAACAGGCAGGTAGGTACAGGGGGTCAGGCAGAGAATGGTCGGGGTCACAAGCCAGGGATCAGAACAGGAGAAGTCAGCAGAGGTCAGAATCAAGCCGGGTCAGCAACAAGACAGGAACAGGGACAGGATGCAGGAACAGGATACAGGGCCCAGGAAAAACACAACACCAAGGCAGAGTCTGCAGGTCTGAATTGCTGGCCAGTCCATTCCTGACAGTACCCCCCCCCCTCAAGGAGCGGCCCCAGGACGCTCCAAACAGTCCTAGCTGGGCAAAATGTTCCACCGCCCGGGTCTGGTAACTGGCGGGATATCAAAGACTGGCACACCGGGCTGGACTCCGGGCAGAGGCACACCGGGCAGGACACCGGGCAGGATTCCGGGCAGAGGCACATCGGGCAGGATTCCAGGCAGGCATCGGGCCCCCAGGCAGGCGGGGCGACAGGCATCGGGCCCCCAGGCGGAGCGGCGGGCGCCAGACCCCCAGGCGGAGCGACAGGTCTCGGGCCCTCAGGCGGAGCGGCGGGCGCCGGACCCCCAGGTGGAGCGACAGGTCTCGGGCCCTCAGGCGGAGCGACAGGTCTCAGGCCCCCAGGCGGGGCGGCGGGTGCGGGCCCCCAGGCGGGGCGGCGGGTGCCGGACCCCCAGGCGGGGCGGCGGGTGCCGGACCCCCAGGCGGAGCGGCGGGTGCCGGACCCCCAGGCGGAGCGGCGGGTGCCGGACCCCCAGGCGGAGCGGCGGGTGCCGGACCCCCAGGCGGAGCGACAGGTCTCGGGCCCTCAGGCGACAGCGGCGGGCGCCGGACCCCCAGGCGGCGGAGCGACAGGTCATGGGCCCTCAGGCGGAGCGGCGGGCGCCGAACCCCCAGGCGGAGCGACAGGTCTCGGGCCCTCAGGCGGAGCGGCGGGCGCCGGACCCCCAGGCGGAGCGACGGGTCTCGGGCCCTCAGGCGGAGCGACGGGTCTCGGGCCCCCAGGCGGGGCGGCGGGTGCCGGACCCCCAGGCGGAGCGACAGGTCTCGGGCCCCCAGGCGAAGCGGCGGGCACCGAGTCACCAGGCACGACAGTGGGCTCCGAGTCAATTGGCATGACCGCTGGCACTGGGTCAGACATTGGATCGTCTGACTGGACAGCGGGCATCGGGTCACCAGGCATCAGGTCATTTGGCTCGACAGCGGGCACCGCGTCATCTGGCAAGGCAGTGGGCTCTGAGTCAACAGGCACGACAGCGGGCACTGGGTCATCAGGTACCGGATTGTCTGGCTCGACAGCGGGCATCGGGTCACCAGGTATGACAGCGGGCACTGGGTCACCAGGCATCAGGTCATTTGGCTTGCCAGCGGGCACCGCGTCATCTGGCAAGGCAGTGGGCACCGGGTCACCAGGCATTGGATCGTCTGGCTCGACAGCGGGCATCGGGTCACCAGGTATGACAGCGGGCACTGGGTCACCAGGCATCAGGTCATTTGGCTCGCCAGTGGGCACGCGTCATCTGGCAAGGCATGTGGGCACCGAGTCACCAGGTACGACAGCGGGCTCTGAGTCAATTGGCACGACAGTGGGCATCACCGGGTCATCAGGTACCGGATTGTCTGGCTCGACAGCGGGCATCAGGTCACCAGGCCTAATAGGATCGTCAGGCTGGATCAGTTCATCATGCTGAGTAGGGGCTTCAGGCTGAGTAGGGGCTTCAGGCTGAGTAGGGGCTTCAGGCTGAGTAGGGGGCAGGCTGAGTCAGGCTGAGTAGGGGCTCAGGCTGAGTAGGGGCTTCAGGCTGAACCACGGAAGGCAGGTTCACCGGTTTGGATACTGGCAGGATGGTATTGGTTGGAAAGAATTTTCGCTTTTTTCTGGTTTTAACTACTGGAGCACTGCAAGTAAACGCAGGTCTGCAGACGAATGGGGCAGCTGGAGACAGAGAAGAGCTGGAGGATGGAACAGGAGAGGGAACAGTCGCTACAGAGGGCTTCTTTACAGGGTTAAAGGCAGGATAGGTGCAGCGAGTGGTAACAGGGTACTGACATGCGGTAGGTAGCAGGGTATACTGGGCTGTAACTGGGGGAGTTGTTGGGAATGCAGGAATAGAGCTTTGAGGAAATAGATTAGAAGCAGGACTGGGTCTTTGTAGGCTGACTGAGGCTGGGTGCAACAAGTCTGTCCATGTCTGCAGTAGGGGTTGAACAAAGCTGAGCTTACACAAAGCCTGTCTGACCAATGACTGCACTGCGTTTATACAATCTCTTAGTGTCTGTGGTGAACATGTGGAATAACGCTCCAGAAAGTAACCCACATCATCCTCTAATAACCACACCAGGGACTCTACCTGGTCTGCACTAAATGGTGGCAAAAATTCATCTCTGCATTCGGGGGAACCAGATGAAACCAACTCAGCACAAACCTCAATCAATGGCTGCACCTCAGAGAACTCTGTGCCCTGATCTACTAGAACATGAGCGATCCGTATACATTCTAGCAGTTCATCCCGGGGATACTCCTTCAGAGTCTGATAAGCATACTCCCTGTCATCAAACACTAGCAGATATAAATACACAACCTCATCAAGATCCATCCTTTCCCAGCAACAAACCAAGATGGCTTCCCTGTGCAGCCACTTCTGGTCAGGATTGGCCTTGGTGTAATGTCAGGGCTCCCGGGTATGACCAGAGGTGTGTGACTGACGCAGGGAAACGCAGACTTTCGATATGTTATAAACAATTTATTAACACTAACAATACAAACATAAACGCAGTGCAATACTAAAACATAACACAGTGCAAACAAACCAAACCAACCACCCACAGATAACAGTACATACAATGCAAGCGTCGTCAGGCGGGCCGGGTCAATATCCAATCGGGCAGGTAGGTACAGGGGGAGTAAGCGGAGAATAGTCAGGTCAGGAGCAGGGTACAGCAACTAACAGGCAGGTAGGTACAGGGGGTCAGGCAGAGAATGGTCGCGGTCACAAGCCGGGGATCAGAACAGGAGAAGTCAGCAGAGGTCAGAATCAAGCCGGGTCAGCAACAAGACAGGAACAGGGACAGGATGCAGGAACAGGATACAGGGCCCAGGAAAAACACAACACCAAGGCAGAGTCTGCAGGTCTGAATGTCCCTTAAATACACCAGAATAATCAGTTCCAGGTGTTTGACTGGCTGCAAGGTTGAGTCTCTGATTGCTGGGAGCACCCGCTGGCCAGCCCTGGTACTGCAGCCCATAAGGCAGCTGAGTCCCACTATTGCTGGCCAGTCCATTCCTGACACTATGCTAGGACGATGAGGATGGGGGAGGTGTTCTGTAGTCCTGTCTCAGGGTTGGAGTTGTGTATTCAGCAGAATTTGTGCTCTCTGGGGGAGGGAAGTTAATATTTTGTTTTTTTCCGCAGATGTGCCTCATACGTGTCCTGACCGCGCGCCGCGTCGTCCGCCGATACCTCGGAACGTTCAGGAAGATGGCCACCCTGCAGGCCGACGCCCACCAGATATTCCAGAGCGCGGTGTCAGCCGTCCTGCCCCCCCGCATGCTGCAGAGGGCGCTGGTTGTGAAGGAGAGTAGCGGCTCGGCTGTCCTGCAGTGTGGGGGAAGGGAGTTCTGGTTGGACAGGAATCTGTACCTGGTGGGGTTCGGGAAAGCGGTTCTGGGAATGGCCGCCGCAGCGGAGCGGATTGTCGGGAGGCACCTGGTCAGGGGAGTGATCAGCATTCCGCTAGGGATGGCGGAGAGTCTGAAGAGAGCCGGGAAGAGGTGAGGAGGGAAATACGTCCACCCGCTGGGGGCGGGGCTGGGGGCGGAGGAGGAGGCGGGCTGAGGAGGCGGGAGGCACCTGGTCAGGGGAGTGATCAGCATTCCGCTGGGGATGGAGGAGAGTCTGAAGAGAGCCGGGAAGAGGTGAGGAGGGAAATACGTCCACCCACTGGGGCGGGGCCAGGCAGAGGAGGAGGAGGGAGGGGGCTGGCGGAGGAGGTGGGAGGGAATAGGTCAGGACCTGCAACCTGTGCTCCTGAAGCTAGTGGGGGAGGGGCGGACTATGGTCCTTCCACCCGGGGTACTGAAGGTCCTTCTCCCAGCAGATGACACCCAGGGTCCTCTCCAGTCCTCCCCGGGCAAAGGGCAGTCCTGGATGATGCAGAGTGATAACCTCAGCGCCAGTCTGTGCATCAGTACGTTGTGAGTACAGGGCCATGTTTGGGGGAAGGGGTGGCCATGACACCCTGCACTCACAGCCTTGCTAGGCGGGGGCAGGGCTACGACACCCTGCATTCACAACTTTGCTTGGTAGGGGTGGGGCCATGACACCCTGCACTCACAGCCTTGCTTGGCGGGGTCATGACACCCTGCGCTTAAAGCTTTGCCCGTTGGCGGTGGGGCCATGACACCCTGCACTCACAGCTTTTCTCGGTGGGGGGGTGGGGTCATGACACCCTGCGCTTAAAGCTTTGCTCCGGCGGGGGTGTGGGGGGGCCATGACTCCCTGCACTCACAGCTTTGCTCGGTGGGGGTGGGGTCATGACACCCTGCACTCACAGCTTTGCTCGGTGGGGGTGGGGTCATGACACCCTGCACTCACAGCTTTGCTCTGTGGGGGTGGGGCATGACTCCCTGCACTCACAGCTTTGCTCTGTGGGGGTGGGGCCATGACTCCCTGCACTCACAGCTTTGCTCTGTGGGGGGTGGGGCCATGACTCCCTGCACTCACAGCTTTGCTCTGTGGGGGTGGGGCCATGACTCCCTGCACTCACAGCTTTGCTCTGTGGGGGTGGGGCCATGACTCCCTGCACTCACAGCTTTGCTCTGTGGGGGTGGGGCCATGACTCCCTGCACTCACAGCTTTGCTCTGTGGGGGTGGGGCCATGACACCCTGCACTCACAGCTTTGCTCGGTGGGGGTGGGGTCATGACACCCTGCGCTTAAAGCTTTGCCCGGCGGGGGGTGGGGCCATGACTCCCTGCACTCACAGCTTTGCTCGGTGGGGGTGGGGTCATGACACCCTGCACTCACAGCTTTGCTCGGTGGGGGTGGGGTCATGACACCCTGCACTCACAGCTTTGCTCTGGTGGGGGTGGGGCCATGACTCCCTGCACTCACAGCTTTGCTCTGTGGGGGTGGGGCCATGACTCCCTGCACTCACAGCTTTGCTCTGTGGGGGTGGGGCCATGACTCCCTGCACTCACAGCTTTGCTCTGTGGGGGTGGGGCCATGACTCCCTGCACTCACAGCTTTGCTCTGTGGGGGTGGGGCCATGACTCCCTGCACTCACAGCTTTGCTCTTGGGGGTGGGGCCATGACTCCCTGCACTCACAGATTTTGCTCTGTGGGGGTGGGGCCATGACTCCCTGCACTCACAGCTTTGCTCTGTGGGGGTGGGGCCATGACTCCCTGCACTCACAGCTTTGCTCGGTGGGGCCATGACTCCCTGCACTCACAGTTTGCTCTGTGGGGGGTGGGCCATGACTCCCTGCACTCACAGCTTTGCTCTGTGGGGGTGGGGATGACTCCCTGCACTCACAGCTTTGCTCTGTGGGGGTGGGGCCATGACTCCCTGCACTCACAGCTTTGCTCTGTGGGGGGGCCATGACTCCCTGCACTCACAGTTTGCTGTAAATACTGAGGACATCTTGTGGCCAAATACAGTTACTACGAGGGACGGCCCTGGATTTGAAGGTAAGTATTGCAGCTGGAGAGTCTAGCAGAGATCAGGATCACTTTTTAGGGGGCCCAGGGGGGACGTTTAATAGGGGGGCCCAGGGGGACGTTTAATGGGGGGGGGGCAGGGGGACATTTAATAGAAATATTTGGCACCCATGCTGTCCTCTCTCTGCAGTGACATGCTTCTGCCTGCGATGGGCCGGGTGCTGGTCATGGAGGGAGCCGCAAACAACATGGTGGACGAGGCTGCAGAGAGAGCCGCCGGGGAGATCCGGGAATTGGCGGAGAGACTGCAGGAGGACGACATTCTGCTGGTGCTGATCTCCGGTATGACGGGACATCGAACCTCTACATTTCCTTAGTCTCCCCTCCCCCAGTGATCAGACTGTACATTGTAACTTTGTAGAAGGAGGAGGAGTCATTTCCTCAGTCTCCCCTCCCCCAGTGATCAGACTGTACATTGTAACTTTGTAGAAGGAGGAGGAGGCGTTTCCTCAGTCTCCCCCTCCCCTTGATCAGACTGTACATTGTAACTTTGTAAGGAGGAGGCGGCGGCGTTTCCTCAGTCTCCCCTCCCCCCCAGTGATCAAACTGTACATTGTAACTTTGTAGAAGGAGGAGGAGGCGGCGTTTCCTCAGTCTCCCCTCCCCCAGTGATCAAACTGTACATTGTAACTTTGTAGAAGGAGGAGGAGGCGGCGTTTCCTCAGTCTCCCCTCCCCTAGAGATCAGACTGTACATTGTCTTCTGTTCTCTGGCCAGGTGGGGGCTCCGCACTGCTGCCGGCCCCGGTCCCCCCGCTCACCCTGCAGGACAAGCAGACCATCACCCAGCAGCTGGCACTGAGAGGGGCGACCATCCAGGAACTGAACACCATCCGCAGAGCTCTGTCCCAGCTGAAAGGAGGAGGACTGGCCAGGGCGGCCTACCCAGCACAGGTCAGTGGGCAGGACACGGGGGGAGGGGCACCTACCGGCAGGTGATATGCATGGCCCTTCTCAGGGCGGGGCTTCCTGATGGTGACAACAGTGGATCATGTCTGTGTCATGTGTGCTGAATAGGCCACTTGTAGCCTCCATCAGACCCTAAACCAGGAAGTGCCTGAGAGAGGACCTTCATGGCGGGATCATCAGGGACTATTTTAAAGCTGAATTTTTGCTAAAAAAACTTACCTAACGAGGGGTGTCCCATGCTGTGCAGACAGCTGGATCCTGGAGAAATCTTCACTGCAGGGATGCCCTGTCCTCTTCCTGTTGCTGAACTTCTGGCGTTGTATTGTACGCGAAGGAGGCAGGAGTACTGGGAGCAACTTAGAGAAGAGGTGGGTCACACTGGTGGAGGGGGGAATGAGGTGCGTATTACACCTTATTCCTCTACCCTTAAGCAAAAATTAGATCTTAGGGAAATCTTTACTGCAGGGATGCCCCGTCCTCTTCCTGCTGCTGAACTTCTGGTGCTGCATTGTATGTGAAGGAGGCAGGAGTACTGGGAACAACTTAGAGAAGAGGTGGGTCACACCTTTGGAGAGAGGAATCGGGTATTGCACATTATTTCTCTACCCCTAGGCAAAAATTATATCTTGGAGAACTCTTCACTGCAGGGATGCCCCGTCCTCTTCCTGGCTCTGATCTTCTAGTGCTGCAGTGGTTAACAGCTTCAAGCCTACAGGTAGAACAGCAGTACAGATGGTCCTCCTCCTTCCTCTATTGGGAAAAGTCCTTTCATTGATTACACTGCCTGTAAAACGATCTGTGAATGGGGGGGGGGGGGGATCATCCCGTCAGACTCCCCCCCCCCCCCCATTCACAGATCGTTTTACAGGCAGCACAATAAATAATGAGAGGACATTTTTCAGTGGAGGAGAAAGGAGGGGGGCGGATCCCTGTTGGATCATCTGTATTGCTGTTCTGCCCGAAGACATTGCAGCATGGGAAGTTCAGAGACAGGAAGAGGACGGGGCATCCCTGCAGTGAGGATTTCTTCAGCTGATTTTTGCCTGGAGTTAGAGGATCAAGACGTATTAAGGTCCCTCCACCAGTGTGCCCGGTCCCCCAGAAACCTCTGAGGTGCTCGGGGGAGGGTTAATGGTCCTGAATTCAATGTGATGACTTTGGAGGGAGGAGAGGCGGGCCCTGGAGACTGTCAGAGAGGGGGGAGACGTAATGCAGCCTTCTCCTCCACCCCGGCAACAAGGCAGGATGGGGGGGGGGGGCATCTCTGGGAGTTTTTCAGCCAGGCTTCAGGAGGTAAGTAGATGGCGCACACCTATAGGAAGAGGCACAGTTGCACGGGTTGCTTTTATCTTCTGGAACTCCCTGCCTGGTGAAGGTGAACGAACCCTCTAGAGCCGCAGTCTCCAAACTTTCTACACAAAGGGCCAGTTTACTGTCCACCAGGGTTTAGGGGGGCCGGGTTGTGGCCAGTAGGAGTAGAAATTGTCCTGGTGTCAGTGGGAGGAATAGTGTCCCATCATTGGTGTCAGTGGGAGGAATAGTGCCCCATCATTGGTGTCAGTGGGGGGAGGAATAGTGTCCCATCATTGGTGTCAGTGGGAGGAATAGTGTGCCCATCATTGGTGTCAGTGGGAGGAATAGTGCCCCATCATCATTGGTGTCAGTGGGAGGAAATAGTGCCCCATCATTGGTGTCAGTGGGAGGAATAGTGCTTCCCCATCATTGGTGTCAGTGGGAGGAATAGTGCCCCATCATTGGTGTCAGTGGGAGGAATAGTGCCCCATCATTGGTGTCAGTGGGAGGAATAGTGCCCCATCATTGGTGTCAGTGGGAGGAATAGCGCCCCATCATTGGTGTCAGTGGGAGGAATAGCGCCCCCATCATTGGTGTCAGTGGGAGGAATAGCGCCCCATCATTGGTGTCAGTGGGAGGAATAGCGCCCCATCATTGGTGTCAGTGGGAGGAATAGTGCCCCATCATTGGTGTCAGTGGGAGGAATAGCGCATTGGTGTCAGTGGGAGGAATAGCCGTCATCATTGGTGTCAGTGGGAGGGAATAGCGCCCCATCATTGGTGTCAGTGGGAGGAATAGCGCCCCATCATTGGTGTCAGTGGGAGGAATAGTCCCCATCATTGGTGTCAGTGGGAGGAATAGCGCCCCATCATTGGTGTCAGTGGGAGGAATAGTGCGCCCCATCATTGGTGTCAGTGGGAGGAATAGTGTGGGAGGAATAGCCATCATTGGTGTCAGTGGGAGGAATAGCGCGCCCCATCATTGGTGTCAGTGGGAGGAATAGCATCATTGGTGTCAGTGGGAGGAATAGCGCCCCATCATTGGTGTCAGTGGGAGGAAATAGCGCCCCATCATTGGTGTCAGTGGGAGGAATAGCGCCCCATCATTGGTGTCAGTGGGAGGAATAGCGCCCCATCATTGTGCAGTGGGAGGAATAGCGCCCCATCATTTGGTGTCAGTGGGGAGGAATAGCGCCCCATCATTGGTGTCAGTGGGAGGAATAGCGCCCCATCATTGGTGTCAGTGGGAGTGGGTGTCAGGAATAGCGCCCCATCATTGGTGTCAGTGGGAGGAATAGCGCCCCATCATTGGTGTGGGAGGAATAGCAGTGTCAGTGGGAGGAATAGCGCCCCATCATTGGTGTCAGTGGGAGGAATAGCGCCCCATCATTGGTGTCAGTGGGAGGAATAGTGCCCCATCATTGGTGTCAGTGGGAGGAATAGCGCCCCATCATTGGTGTCAGTGTCAGTGGGGGAGGAATAGCGCCCCATCATTGGTGTCAGTGGGAGGAATAGCGCCCCATCATTGGTGTCAGTGGGAGGAATAGCGCCCCATCATTGGTGTCAGTGGGAGGAATAGTACCCCAAGGGCTGGATAAAGGGTGTCAGTTTGGCGATCACTGCTTTAGGGTCCTGTTTTGGGTCCGGCGCCCCACCAACGCCTCTCTCCTCTCCCCTGCAGGTTGTCAGTCTGATCCTGTCGGACGTCATCGGGGACGACTTCAATGTGATTGCCAGCGGCCCGACGGTTCCCAGCACTCGCAGCGCAGAAGATTGCCTTCAGATTCTGAGCAGATACAGCCTGAGGGGGGCGGTGTCAGACGCCGTGGAGGAAGCCTTGTCCTCCGGACCCGGGGTGGAGGAAGTCGAACATTTCCCGCACGTCCACAACATCCTCATCGGCTCCAACCTGATCGCCTTACGTGAGACTGAGCGGGAGTCCCAGAAGTTGGGGTACCTCCCCCTCCTGCTCTCCTCCGCCATCAGCGGAGATGTGACGCTCGTGTCGCGGTTCTTCGCCCTCCTGGCGCGGGTCATTTCCGCCATCTTGGCGTCCAGCCCTGAGCAGGCGCAGCTGGAACAAGAGATCCTGGAGCTGGCCTCCGCCATGGCCATCCCCGGGAGGAATAGTCTCCCCGAACGGCTGCAGGAGGTGAAGGAGGCCAGGAACGCCGACGCCGTTTGCGCCCTCTTCGGAGGGGAGATCACAGTGCAGGTTCGGGGGAAGGGCAAGGGTGGGCGGAACCAGGAACTGGCACTCCGAGTGGCCACTGAGTGGCATCGATCTTCGGCCGGCATGTCGGGGTGCGAGGTGCTGTTCCTGAGCGGGGGCACCGACGGGCAGGATGGCCCCACGGACGCTGCCGGAGCTTCCTCCTATCCGCAGCTCGTGGCGCAGGCTCTAGAGGACGGCCTGGATGTGGAGGGATCCCTTAATTGCAGTGATTCCAACAGCTTCTTCAGGCAGTTCCAAAATGGCCGACATCTGCTGGTGACGGGACTGACGGGGACTAATGTCATGGATGTTCAGGTGCTTCTCGTACGGAGACACGCAGGGACCCCATGACCATCTACTGATCCCTTTTATATGAATGACCAATCATAAACCGAATCATCCGGAGGGGGCGCTCCATCCACAGGGGGCGCTCCATCCACAGGGGGCGCTCCATGACACCAATGTCTGGCCTATCGTTTTGTAAAAAAATAAAATGTAATAAATGGATTTAATTTGTGATACAAATACGAGTTGTGTGCCTGTGTGAGGGGAAGCTGCACATCGAGGGGTCCATACATGGGCTCCATAGTCCCGGGGGGCCCAACATGTGACCTGCCAGCCGGCCCTTTGCGTGCCGCCCAACGGCCTGGGGAGCGAGGCAGCATGTGATGGTGGGGGGATGGTTACCTGCCATTGCCATGACCAGTGGGGGGGGGGGAGGGGGGGGTTTTTGGGGGAAGGTGGAAAGTCACTGCCATGATCACCATGAAAGGGGGATTGAATTTAACTGCCAGTGACACCAAGGTTGGGGGTTATTATTTCACTCATTGACACTGATGCTTCACATTATTACATTCACTGACACTTATGTTGTGGTATATTATTGTGTCCACTGACACCAATGTCGGGGGTTATTCCATTCACTGACACCAATATTGAGGGTTATTGTTGGGCTCACTGACGCCAATGTCGGGGGTTATTGTTGCGCTCACTGACGCCAATGTCGGGGGTTATTTTTGCCCTCACTGACACCAGTGCTGGGGGTTATTGTTAGGCTCACTGACACCAATGTCGGGGATTATTGTTAGGCTCACTGACACCAATGTCGGGGGTTATTGTTGCCCTCACTGACGCCAATGTCAGGGGTTATTGTTGCCCTCACTGACACCAATGTCGGGGGTTATTGTTGCCCTCACTGACACCAATGTCGGGGGTTATTGTTGCCCTCACTGACACCAATGTCGGGGGTTATTGTTGCCCTCACTGACGCCAATGTCGGGGGTTATTGTTGCCCTCACTGACGCCAATGTCGGGGGTTATTGTTGGGCTCACTGACGCCAATGTCGGGGGTTATTGTTGCCCTCACTGACGCCAATGTCGGGGGTTATTGTTGCCCTCACTGACGCCAATGTCGGGGGTTATTGTTGCCCTCACTGACGCCAATGTCGGGGGGTTATTGTTGCCCTCACTGACGCCAATGTCGGGGGGGTTATTGTTGCCCTCACTGACACCAATGTCGGGGGTTATTGTTGCCCTCACTGACACCAATGTCGGGGGTTATTGTTGCCCTCACTGACGCCAATGTCGGGGGGTTATTGTTGCCCTCACTGACACCAATGTCGGGGGTTATTGTTGCCCTCACTGACACCAATGTCGGGGGCTATTTTTGCCCTCACTGACACCAGTGCTGGGGGTTATTGTTAGGCTCACTGACGCCAATGTCGGGGGTTATTGTTGGGCTCACTGACGCCAATGTCGGGGGTTATTGTTGCGCTCACTGACGCCAATGTCGGGGGTTATTTTTGCCCTCACTGACACCAGTGCTGGGGGTTATTGTTAGGCTCAGTGACACCAATGTCGGGGATTATTGTTAGGCTCACTGACACCAATGTCGGGGGTTATTGTTGCCCTCACTGACGCCAATGTCGGGGGTTATTGTTGCCCTCACTGACGCCAATGTCGGGGGTTATTGTTGCCCTCACTGACGCCAATGTCGGGGGTTATTGTTGCCCTCACTGACGCCAATGTCGGGGGTTATTGTTGCCCTCACTGACGCCAATGTCGGGGGTTTATTGTTGCCCTCACTGACGCCAATGTCGGGGGTTATTGTTGCCCTCACTGACGCCAATGTCGGGGGTTATTGTTGGGCTCACTGACACCAGTACTGGGGGTTATTGTTGCCCTCACTGACACCAATGTCGGGGGTTATTGTTGCCCTCACTGACGCCAATGTCGGGGGTTATTGTTGCCCTCACTGACGCCAATGTCGGGGGTTATTGTTGAGCTCACTGACGCCAGTACTGGGGGTTATTGTTGCCCTCACTGACGCCAATGTCGGGGGTTATTGTTGCCCTCACTGACGCCAGTACTGGGGGTTATTGTTGAGCTCACTGACGCCAATGTCGGGGGTTATTGTTGAGCTCACTGACGCCAATGTCGGGGGTTACTGTTGCCCTCACTGACGCCAATGTCGGGGGTTATTGTTGCCCTCACTGACGCCAGTACTGGGGGTTATTGTTGAGCTCACTGACGCCAATGTCGGGGGTTATTGTTGAGCTCACTGACGCCAATGTCGGGGGTTACTGTTGCCCTCACTGACGCCAATGTCGGGGGTTATTGTTGCCCTCACTGACACCAATGTCGGGGGTTATTGTTGAGCTCACTGACGCCAATGTCGGGGGTTATTGTTGAGCTCACTGACGCCAATGTCGGGGGTTATTGTTGCCCTCACTGACGCCAATGTCGGGGGTTATTGTTGCCCTCACTGACGCCAGTACTGGGGGTTATTGTTGAGCTCACTGACGCCAGTACTGGGGGTTATTGTTGCCCTCACTGACGCCAATGTCGGGGGTTATTGTTGAGCTCACTGACGCCAGTACTGGGGGTTATTGTTGCCCTCACTGACACCAATGTCGGGGGTTATTGTTGCCCTCACTGACGCCAGTACTGGGGGTTATTGTTGCCCTCACTGACGCCAGTACTGGGGGTTATTACACTCCAGCTTCTTCGGTGTGCATTGCAATAAGCTGCAGAAAATACAATAAGGCCGACATTTTGCGCCATTGAGGTGGTGGTGGACAAGTGTGTGGCCCTCCAGATGTCCTCGCGGGGCCACACTTGAGTCTCTCCAGAATTTTCAAGCTGACCACCATTGCCCTCTAGTGTGAGCTCCGCCAAAACTTGGATGTCCGCAAATCCCAAACAGATTCTGCCTCTGGATTGCATTGTGTGTGGCCGTCCCGAATGGATCGATAATAATCTCCGATCCCCAGAGATCAGTGAATTCCCCATTCACTCCAGCGGGCTCTGTCTTCTCTCTAACAGCCGCTAGATGGCAGCAGACGAGCAGCAATTGCCCGCACAGGAATGTACTGCACCGCCATGGCCAGAAGGGGGAGCCAGACACTGCGCGGCCGTGATTGTGGGGGCGTGTCCGGCTATTCCCATGGCAACCTTTTAGCGTCGTGTTGCCTGGCAACGTGGAAGGCGGCGGTGCGAGGCAGGTGAGGTGACTTGTATCTCTGTGATTATAAAATGTATCGGATCCGCCGGAGGATACAATGTATACCGGGGGGGCTGGGATTTGTAGTTCCTAGGGGGTCATGCTGGGCCCTATAGCTCCTCCAGGGGCCACAGGCGACGTTAGGAAGTCATGCTGGGCCCTAAAGCTCCTCCAGGGGCCACAGGCAGCGTTGGGAGTCATTCTGGGCCCTCTAGTTCCTCCAGGGGCCACAAGTGATGTTAGGAAGTCATGCTGGGCCCTATAGCTCCTCCAGGCCCACGGACAAAGTTAGAGGGTCATGCTGGGCCCTATAGTTCCTCCAGGGGTCATAGGCGACATTAGGGTGTCATCTTGGACCCCATAGTTCCCTCAGGAGCCACAGGTGACATTAGAGGGTCATGCTTGGCCCTATAGCGCCTCCAAGGGCCACAGGCAACATTAAGGGGTTATGCTGGGCCCTATAGCTCATCCAGGGGCCACAGGCGACATTATGGGGTCATGCTGGGCCCTATAGCTCCTCCAGGGGCCACAGGCGACATTATGGGTCATTTTTTTTGGCCCTATAGTTCTTCTAGGAGCCACAAGCAACATTAGGAAGTCATGCTTGGCCCTATAGCTCCTCCAGGGACCACAGGCTACCTTAGGAAGTTATGCTGGGCCCTATAGCTCCTCCAGGGGCCACAGGCTACATTAGGAAGTTATGCTGGGCCCTATAGCTGCTCCAGGGCCCACAGGCGACATTAGGGGGTCATGCTTGGCCCTATAGCTCCTCCAGGGACCACAGGCTACATTAGGAAGTTATGCTGGGCCCTATAGCTGCTCCAGGGGCCACAGGCTACATTAGGAAGTTATGCTGGGCCCTATAGCTGCTCCAGGGGCCACAGGCGACATTAGGGGGTCATGCTTGGCCCTATAGCTCCTCCAGGGACCACAGGCTACATTAGGAAGTTATGCTGGGCCCTATAGCTGCTCCAGGGGCCACAGGCTACATTAGGAAGTTATGCTGGGCCCTATAGCTGCTCCAGGGGCCACAGGCGACATTAGGGGGTCATGCTTGGCCCTATAGCTCCTCCAGGGACCACAGGCTACATTAGGAAGTTATGCTGGGCCCTATAGCTGCTCCAGGGGCCACAGGTGACAGGGGGTCATGTTGGACCCTATAGTCCCTCCAGAGGTCACAAGCGACATTAGGGGGTCATGTTGGACCCTATAGTCCCTCCAGGGGCCACAGGTGACTTTAGAGGGTCATGTCAGTGTTTACAATCAAAGAGCTCTCTCCTGTGAATCTCTGAGCCAATCAGCGGGTCCTGGCGATCAATCATTGGCTGGGACCTCACTGATTGGCAAATCACAGCACAGCCAGGGAGGCAGACGGGCGCACGCATTCCCCACCCCCAGCAGATTCGTGATCCAGCGCACAGCAACCGCCCTGCCACAGTAATGTACGTGGGTCAGTCAGTGAGCGATTGATTGTATGGGGGGGGGGGGGGCATAGGAATCGGTCTAATCGAAGAAATGAGATGATCATAAAACACACGTCGGATGAGATCAGAAATCGATTTATTAGAGATCTCAGCACTGTGGTGAGTTTGGCGATTGTTCATCCAATCTGTGAATGGAGGATTTCCCCGACATCTGCCGCACATTGACCGCCGGAGCGCCGTCCTCCAGATCCGCTGGGAGTAGAAATGTCCACAATGGAAGTTTCCTTTCGGATTTGTTTGTTGTGATAATCGTTCGGTTTCATCATATTCCCGAGAACAATTCGTTAGTTTCGTATATTCTGAGTCGTTTCCTATATTCGTTGTTCCGGATCGATCGATATTTCAGACAAAGATTGTCGATACTC